ATCCCGGCTCTCCACCTGCTGGCAGTGAGTATTCTCAGTCCAGGCTCTCCTCCACGTGCCTCTCAGGCTAACTGCTTCCCTGCATAGGACGCTTGTCAAGATTAAGTGAGGTGGCAGTGCCCGGCTTGTGGCCCGCGCTAGGTTCCACCCACTGGCGCTGCTCACCGTGCCGAGAGCTTCTGGAGGTTACCTCTCTGTGCCTTGCCTGTCCTGGGCTCTAGCCCATCAAGGCCTTCCTGCTTCCCCTATTCCCGCCAACAGCTCTCGTGCCCACGAGGGGCCGGCCTCCTCTGTGCCAGACAGAGCCTCGTCCGGGTATGTTTGCTCTGTGTTCAAACAGAGCTTCCTTGCTGTGGTATTGGATTCTGTGGGACAGTGACAGTTTCCAGAAACCTCTGGTCCGTGAGCCAATTTGGAGCAAATTAAACCATTCTCTGTGCCCCTCGGCTGGCATCCTAGAAGGCTGCCCAGACACTCCGGGCAGGCTTCAGCACCTTCACATCAAGGACTCCATTATGGCTCTGAAATAAAAACGTTCCCCGTTGCTCCCTGCGTGCGAAGCTGGATCGTGTGCTTGGCACACACCTCGGCAGGGGCCGTAACCCCGCTCCAACCCAATCGGAAGGTCCTCCTGCAGGCAGGAGCCACTTAACGTGCTCTGTGCTTCTCCCTGTGAGGATGCAAAAAAAGCAGGAGCTCTCAGGACCCCACGTGTCCAGGTGCACTTCCAGCTAGAGGTAGGGCGAGTCTTTTCAAGTGTTCAGAGAGGTTATTTCATATGCAAATTTGTGGAGCCGGGCTGGGGAGAGGCCACAGTCCTCATTCACTCCACAGTTTCTCATCTTGTCAGAGAAGCTGACCTCATAGCCCCACATTCATGTTCTCCTTAGCAAGGACCCTCCTGTAGGAACAGTCATGAATTTGGCAACTAACGATCATAAGGGTTTTAGGATTTGTGGAGAATTTATCTGTGAAAGAAAATGGATGAATTAAAAATACTAACCAGCTTAGCCAGCACCCGCATGGATGAATCACTGAGATCTTTTTTCTTCTTCCCCCTTCATACTATAAACATATGGCATGAATTTTCTGCTCTCATTACAGATGCTGAGAGAAGGCAAAGACAAATATTTATATTACATTCATGTTTTACAGTAAAAACACTGTTTGGTTTGTTTATACAGTTCCACTGTTACAGTTTTTATGGTTGGTAATGAAACCACTGTAAAACCCAGCCTGGGTTATATAGCAGATACGATAAGGCCCAAGTACTCAGGGAGAGACCCTGGATGGAATAGTTGATGTCACGCGTAGGGAATCGACAATTGAATGATGTGTTAGGACAGGCCAAGCTAGACCGTAATAACAAACGACCTCAAAATCTCAGGGGCTTAAAACAACTGAGGTTTATTTCTCGTTCCAATGACATTTCCATCGTGAGTTGCTGGGAAGGCTGTGCTAGATGGGACCTCGCTTAGCCAACCGGAGTCGACTCGCGTCTCTGGGTGTTGTGACAGGAAGAGAAAGGCGTGTTGACCGTGCACTGCCCTTCAGACTCATGCTCAGGGTGACGCTGTCGCAGCTGCTCACGTTCCCTGGGCCAGAGCCACAGGTAACCTCTAGGTGCAGGGGGTGCACACCTGCCACGGGAGTGACAGGAGGTGGACAATTAGACTCGCAGAGAGCAGCCCTCAGGACTTCCTTCTGGTTACTTCAAGGGTTTTTGTAGTTATTTAACTGATATTCTGTGTTTAATGCAACTTTGAATCATAAGGGAACAGGGAAGGCATCAGAGACCCTCCTGCCCACCACCCCCAAACTCCTTACAGCTAATGAGACTCTGTCTTCATTCTATGATGACCTGGATAGAAAGGACCCGCCACTGTCCCCAGGAATATGTCACAGTGCAGAAAAAATTTCACATCCAGAAAACGTTTTCAAGTTGAACTGTGATTTTGGCTGTGGGGGTGTGTGTTATTTTAAAATAAGTGTATGTCTAGAAACTCATCAGTAGACGGCACTCCTTTAGATCTATTACCCTCAAGTGGTGTGCACTGCCACCATCAAGTAGGCATGAAATGCTGGAGATAACCATTCATCCAAAGGAAATAAAAAGTGTAAGTAAGAAAGCAGCTCCAAGTGACTTTTCACAGCCACTTATAGGTGGTATCTAGAGTGGAGATGTCCAGTATGGTAGCCAGGGGCCACATATGGCAATTGAGGGCTTGAAATGCGCCTGGTCCAGGTTGAAATGATGTGTAAGTGTGAAATAAAATACCTATCAGATTTTGAAGACATAGTATAAAAAGGTAAAATATTTTATTAGTGTTTTTTATATTGATTCCATGCTGAGATGATATTTTAGACACTGGGTTAAAATATTAAAGTTCATCTCACTTGTTTCTTTTTACCCTTTTTTTTTGACTTGACTACTAGAAAATTTAAATTACATGTGTGACTTTCATTAGTTTTATTGAATGGTACTGATGTAAAGGGTAAGCAACAGAGAGAGAGAGAAAAAAAAAATTTGGTGTCTTTCTCACAAATCCCTAATGGTTAGAACTCACAGTTTAACCTGAAAATTTATGTCCTTTGACTTGTTGGCATTTTCTACTTAAAATTTTTTTTTTAATTTAAAAATAATTTTGGATTCTCATAGACGTTGCAAAGACTAATACGGAGAGTTCCTGGGTACCTGACTGTCACCCAGCTTCCCCCAATAATAACATCTTATATAACCATATTAGAATGATCAAATCTGGGAAATTGACATTGGTACCTAATTATAAACTAAAGAATTTATTTATATTTAACCAGTTTTTACATGTACTTTGTGTGTGTGTGTGTGTGTGTATAGTTCTGTTAAATATAGAGGTTTGCATAAGTACCATCACAATCAGGATACCGAACTATTCTGTCACCTCCCAAGAAACACCCTTTACATTAGTTTTTATTCTTTGAGTTACTTCTTTTTTTTCAATTGAAGTATAGTTGATTTACAATGTTGTGTTAGTTTTTGGTGTACAGCAAAGTGATTCAGATATTACATGTATATTCTTTTTCATATTCTTTTCCATTATGGTTTATTACAGGATTTTGAATATAGTTCCCTGTGCTATCCAGTAGGACCTTGTTGTTCACCACTCTATATATAATAGTTTGCTGAGTTACTTCTTAATTAGGGCTGTTGCTTAGAGTAAAGCTTCAAGGCAACCTAGTAGCAAAAGGTGCTCTTGGCTTGGAGGTCCATGGATTTGTCGGTCCATCCCACCCTTAGAATGTGGCTGAGTTATCCCAAGCTTTGCACGAGGTGCTGAGCAGATGCAAAGAAGAGAAGCCTGCACTCAGGGAACTCCTGGTCTTTGGAGGGTTACAGAACTAGTTTCATTAGAAGGTGAGAAATGGCATAATAGAAATTGGTACCTTAATCTGCCAAAGAGAAGAGAATGACACAGGGTCTTTTTTCCAAGTTTCAGAACCTAAATCTCTTGTCCTTCCTTTACCTCGCTTTAAGTAGCGTCACAGTGGTTCAAATCTCTTTAGAAGGCAGTTACTTCCTTACCCAGTTTGAAGGGCAAGAGGAATGCCTTCCCCTTAAACAGGTAGTTTGTATGATCCATATGAGCCAGGTGTTCTGGAAGATTTACACCGGATCTAACTCCCAGATTTTTCAGGTTTTTTTTTTTTTGCGGTACGCGGACCTCTCACTGTTGTGGCCTCTCCCGTTGCAGAGCACAGGCTCCGGACGCGCAGGCTCAGCGGCCATGGCTCACGGGCCCAGCCGCTCCACGGCATGTGGGATCTTCCCGGACCGGGGCACGAACCCGCGTCCCCTGCATCGGCAGGCGGACTCTCAACCACTGCGCCACCAGGGAAGCCCCAGGTTGTTCTGTTTGTTTCTTTTCTTTTTTTTTTTTAAGAAAGAGCCTCATAAGTTGAATTTGGTGATTTTAGAAGTAGTTAATATTTGTTGTATTGCAAAGCTTTTTTAAACAGGAGGGTTAACTAGGTATTTGTTTCTGTGGCTACTTAAAGTAGTCTTTCTTGATATTTGTGTCCCAAGATTTGTATCCGTTTCTTGTTGTTAAGGTGGAGGACAGTTTGTCATAACTTTTTTTTAAACTTCTATTGTGTCATAACTTTTAACATGCCAGGAGGCCACAGAGAAGCACCTGTCTGCCTTTTCTCCAGGCTAAAAACCCAGGGGTGTGATCAACCTCTCCTATGGCCCCTTGTGCTTTCCCACATCCTTATTAAACGTATTGTCTAGATACAGACACACTCTTCCTCAGTTTACCTTTTTCTGAAAAAAAAACCAGGAGGGTTATGTCACCAGCTGTACAGGTTATGTATCAGTGTAGCATGTTCTATGTTTTATAATGCAGGAGTATGTACACCTGCCCCCGCCCCACCCAGGATGGAAATGTATTTGCAATGCTTGTTTTCCACTTTAAGATCTGTTATGACTTTGGAAATCTTAAACAAACAAAAGGTAGTTTTGAATATAAAACCGGTGACCATTAGAGTCCCATGTGATGATGGAAACCTAATTTCTTTGAGCCTGAGTTTCCACATGTGTAAATTGAAGAGACTAATAATGATGATTATCGCGTGATTTGTTGTGTTGATATTTGAATATCTTGTATTTGGTGTAGTGTGAGGCCCATGGATGACATTCAGTAAGCTTTTTTTTGGTCCACATGATCATTGTGTAACTGTAGCAAAAATAGACAAAGCTTCTAGGACGTGGTGCTTATGGGTACTCAATGAATGATTTCTTCTCAGTTGCTTTCTCCTGTTTGTTGAATGAGGGAGTGAATGAATGGATGAATGAATGAACACACTTGAATTCTCCCGTCAGAATTAGCTTTCTTCTTGAAGGTTGAAAGAAATTCTAAATAACTGAGATAAATTATACAGAACCAAATCAGAAGACATATAAAACAACACATGGAAGGAAGATAGATGAAGTTTCATTTTCTTCCTTAGTCCATTTTTTAAATCTAAGTCTTGATAGAGATGAGGCTCCCGCCCGCGCAGGGCTGGGAGCCTTGCAGGTTAAAAATGGCTTTCCCATTTGCTGGCACTTGTGATTCCCGCTCCCGCCCAGCGATGTGTACTCTGTCATCGTCTCCACTTTACAGATAGAGAAGCTGAGGCCCCGAGAAGCGAGGGGACTGTATCCGTCCAAGGCCACGCGTACCCGTGCCCCGAAGATAAGTTCATTTCTTCTCTTGTGCCCACCTATGTCCCACCTGACTCCGCCTTCCAGCGGCTCAATCTAGACGACACCACGTCCTCCTTGGCTCCTCCCTAAGCATGTAAGAGGACATAGCACACAAGTTGGTGGTGATGACAGACCCTGTGTTGGACTCACAGCCAGCCAACAGCACTGGGGAGATGGATGGACTGTGCCCTGAGCTATTGCTGATCCCCCGACCTCTCTCTAACCGTGGACTCCTAGAGCCTGTCCAGAGCCCCTGTCCTTCTGGGAACCCTCCACCTCTGCCTGCTGACCCAGGCTGCCTGCTGGTAGAAACCACAGCAACTGAAGAGGACACAGAGAACATGGAGATCATTGTGGAAGCAGTAGCTGGAAATCTGTCCCCAGGTGCTCCTGGAGAGACCCCAGGGGACACAGGTTCGAGCCCTGGTCTGGGAAGATCCCATGTGCTGCGGAGCAACCAAGCCCGTGTGCCACAACTACTGAGCCTGTGCTCTAGAGCCCGAGAGCCATAACTACTGAAGCCTGTGCGCCTAGAACCCATGCTCTGCAACAAGAGAAGCCACCGCAATGAGAAGCCCGCGCACCACAACAAAGAGTAGCCCCTGCTCACTGCAACTAGAGAAAGCCCATGCGCAGCAACGAAGACCCAAAGCCAAAAATAAATAAGTAAATAAACTTAAAAAAAGAAGCAAATTGCCAAAAAATGACCCCAAAAGATCTGAAAGGATATAGACCAAATTATGTGTGTGAGGTGGTTATTCTTTGTATAGTTCTGTTGTTGCACTGAATTTTTATTTAAACAAAAGAATAATAAAGAGAAAAAGAACCACCAGAATAAACGTAGGACAAACCTGGGCTCCACCATTGACAGGCATGGTGGCCTTAACCTTGCAGCATCCCAGGTCCCTCTTCTCATAGGACAGTTGGAGGACCAAGCAAAAGTGTTTCCTAAGCCTTTCTTTGTCAAGGTCCTGCCAGTTGCTTAAGAAATGGCAGCAAGCGGAGCAACTAGACCCATGCGCCACAATTGCTGAGCCTGTGCCGTAGAGCCCGTAAGCCACAACTACTGAGGCCCACGCGCCTGGAGCCTGTGCTCTGCAACAAGAGAAGCCACCGCAATGAGAAGCCCACACACCTCAACAAAGAGTGGACCCCGCTCGCTGCAACTAGAGAAAGCCCGAGCGCAGCAACAAAGACCCAATGCAGGCAAAAATAAATAAATAAATAAATAGATTAAAAAAATAAAAATTATCATAAATCTAAGTATTTTTGTATGATGCAAATGATAGGGTTTAAACAGATTCCTTGGAAGATGTGGGTGGGTTTCAGGGATTTAAATGATGTGGTGGGTGTGTCGCAGGCATTTAAGACCTCCTAAGGCTTCCATTTCCATTAAGCATTATGGATGCATTCCAAGAATTTAATTAATATAACATCTCTTCATTCATTGTAATTCCTCACGAGGGTTATGGGAACTTGGAAGTGTTCAGTTTCTTATTCAGCTGATTAAAAGGTACTTTCTATGGTTTTCCAACTAGCTGTTTTCTATGGAATTCAGTGGTTGTCCATGAATATTAAATCAATACAGCTAAAATGATGAAAGTAGTGAGAAGTGCTTTTATCTGAACATAGAAGAATAGTTCGCTTGCCTCAGTTGGGAAAAATAAAGTTTTAAGGCTACAGATTGGTGTAAAAGGGTCGTATTTGAAAAATCCCAGAACAGTAAGAGTATTATTTGGAAGTTTTGAGGGGCTAAAATTAGAAAAAAAATAAAACAGTAAGTCATACTTTATAGAGTGTCACTAAATTATGGGCCCTTATGATATGGTTCAGGTGGAAAATTCATTGGCTCACGTAAGGGTATCGAAAGATCTATGGATGTTAAGATCCCTCATGGGTCTTGACCAGGCTGGGTGGGGTGGGGTGGGGGGGAAAGGACATTCTTTTTGAAATCATATAAATGATTTTCCTTGGGGCCACCGGAGAAAATGGAACCTACATCTGATGAAGTACGGCACATCTTCTGTTTTGATTCTGTTTTGATTCCGTGCTTGGCTAACCATAAAGATTAGATTAGATCCTGCTATAAAACTATTGAAGAGGGATGGAGAGGAGGGGGCAGGGCAGAGAAGGAGGGTGAGTGGGCAGGAAGGATTTGGAGGGGCAGGCAGAGGAGAAGTCAGCACCAGAGTTCCTGGCATTCCAGTGCAGGCATGCATTTGATCCAAGCAGTGGCTGGGAGGGAGCAGCTCATCTGCAGGATGGAATTGCGAGGGACAGGTTTGGGGCTGAGTCATGCTGGTGTGGAACAAGGAATGTCGCCCACCATTGGGTTCTACAAGGATTAAGTCGTTAGCCACTGAAGTACACCCTGAAAGGAGTTCAGGATGAGGCACTCTGTGTTTTGGCAAAACAGGCCCCTTAGAGAGTTAGATATATTTCAGAAAAAAATTTCATGAACTTGGATTCTTTTTTTTTTTCCTCATTGATTTTTATTGGAGTATGGTTGATTTACAATGTTGTGTTAGCCTCCACTGCGTGAACTTGGATTCTTGCATCTTCCCGGATATAGAAAGGCACTAAAATCATTAACTGGATACCTGTTCCTCGTGACTGGCAGTAAGCTTCTACCGAGATGGATGTTTGACTGCACGTACTCTTTAGCCAAAATCAATATAGATGCACCCACTAGCCTCTCCCCTGCCTCTTCGGAGCAGTCCCTCAGAGCCATCTCAGAGGGTAAATCCTGGCTCTAGTCCTCAGTAAGACCCTGAATAAAACTCAACTCACAGCTCTTAAGTTGTGTGCATATGTGTGTGTGTGTATATGTTTCAGTTGGCACTAGCAACAGGAAGAAGCTTGAGTTCCTAGGACCAGGACTAGGCGGGTTCCAGAGGCAAGTTGTGACAAGATAATTGGTAAGATCTTGGAGGCATCAGCTCACCTCTGCAGGCGTGGCCTCCCCGGACCTCCTACCTGTGGTGTCCCAGGCCCAGCGGGTTTGCCCTTCACCACTGGTCATCGGTGGTCATGGATGCCACAGCACAGAGGGTGCCTTGCCTCCATCCTCCTCTTTGTTGATGCAGGTTCACGAGGGATGTGAAAGTCTGCGTGTCTCTGCAATAGTGCTTGCTGCTCCTTTGTCCATCTTCAGAGCCGAGCGAAGAGAGTCATAAGCCCAGCTGTATGCAGGGCGTATGAAATTGGAACGACAACCTTTAAGTCTATTTGTTGAGAAAGAGAAAGGATCTCGGAGTTCGCGAACAGCCAGTGGCTAACATAATAATAACAACGAAACCCCTGTTACTTTTCTGCTGCAGCTCCCTTCCCACCCCTGGCTTCCCCAGTGTGATAGCTGTTGTCTTGTCAAGCATCTTTTCCCACGCTCATTCTTAACAGCTCCATCCTGGGGACTGTGGAAGTGAAGACCATGGTAGTATTTTGCATGAGCTAGTCTGGGCCAGTTATGGTCTTTCATACCGGAGCCAGACCAGTCAGTAGTCAGTGAAGAAGATGCTCTCTTGTCTTAGGTGCTGGGAGCTACAACGATGTTTATATGGGCTGCTACGAGCTGTATTTCCAGCTACAAGGAGACAGATAAGAATGGTGAAGGCAAGCTGAAATGAGAGAGAGCAAAAGAGTTCCTTGGGCCGACGTCACCCCTGGGCTTGTGCAGTTATGGAGCCGATGAACCTTCCTTTGTGTGTGAGCTAGTTTCAGCTGGGTTTCTGTCACATGCAACCAAATTGGTCCTATCTAGTACGCCTGGGGAGTCCTGGGGACCCAGAGGCTCTGCCTAGTAGGTGCTCTGACCCTCAGTGTCACATCCATTCCAGTCCATCCTATCCTAGAAGACATGTTAGGAGAAGGAGTCGGGTCCCATTTAGAGTGATTTGCTTCAGGTCCTGCATCTTTGTAACGGCTGTCTGTAGTCGCACTGATCCTACAGGGGAAAGCATTTTGGATCTGGGTCAAAACCACTTGGTTTGAATCCCAGCCCAGTTTCTCAGTGGATGTCCTACCTGGGTCAGGCAGTGAATCTCTGAGATGACACCACCTACTTCATGGGGTTTGGAGTGACTGCTGATGAATGGGGGTTCAGGACAGGGGGCCTTGCATGTCAGCAGACTCACGTTCCTTTCATGTTGTCCCTCCCAACCGGTGTTTATGTGGAACCCAGGCCATCTGTATCCTGATAACTGTGTGACTTTCTTAGGGTTCTTTCCTTGCGTCTGGCACCTCTGGTCTTAAATGTCCGAACACTAAAGGTGAATATCAGCTTCAGGGTTACTTTTTTCATTTTCCACTCCCTTTTTAAGACAAAAGTGTGGAATAAACTATATTTTCTATACTCCCTGCCCACCCTCTGTGATGAGGGTTGGATCAGGCAAGATGGTGCTGCTGGCCCACCGGGTCATCCCCCATCCCATTCCAGGGCCACCTGCCACGTTGCCCCCTTGTGAGAATGAGGATCGGGTGCCCCCTCCTCTCTCGTGGGCCACAGCCAGCTGAGCAGAGTGCAGGCTGGGACAGCCCACCTTGGCCCTGGGACTGTTGCTATGGGGTTGAACCAACTAGCTTGGGTGATCCTTGCTCACAGGTAGGTAGGGAAGGTAGAAAAACATACTCCCGCCAGTTGAAAATAGCATAATTGTGAGTTTCTAGTATATCTGTTTGAGCTTTCAACAAAATGGTCCAAACACGTATCATACGGTCCCAACATTTTAGCAGGTTTCATTTTAAAAACCTTGGATACCTGTTTTGTACATATTATATATGACATCCACATGAATATGTTAATTCCACTTTATTAGTTTCAGTCTCTCTCGCTCTCTCTTTTTACCCCTGTACATGATTGCTGTTTTATAGCTACAGTTTGGTGGAATTAACACAGATTTCCCACATGGGGAAGGTTTCAGGTAAGGATTTACAGCAAGGCAGGTTCTTGATCCTTGGAAGGGATTCTTCCCTGAGGTGGGATTTGAGAACGCATGTTAGAGCTGTCCAAGGGGGGCTGGAAGGCGCAGCGTGGTGGGAAGATGAATTGGAATCATTATTAGAGCCGTTCTCAGAATTTACAGGATATATGATCATAGGAGTAACTTACCTCAGGAATGATGGAATGTTGATGTTTGGAATATTTTTAATTAACCTGCTTCGCTTATATTGAAAGGATGACACAGAGAACAGTAGAATTTGATAAGGAATAACTCAGAATTATATGGAGAATAAAAAAGATAAGGGCTGTCCACATAGTTTGGGGGCAAGTTAGCTAACCTCTCTGTTTCACTTTCTTTGTTCATAGAAGGAAGATAAAAATAGGCCCCACATCCTGGGGTTTTGTGGGGAAATATGTGTTTGTGACAACTTAGAACAGTGCCTGGCACATAGTAATAAGCACTTGGTGGTGTTACTGGTTTCTTGTTGCTGTTGTTTGCTGACTGCTGACCATTCATTACTTGGAAGCTCTTATTACGAATGATGGTTGATGCATTCTCTT